TACAGCATTTAGTAGTACTAAGACATAAGACTTCCAGACCCTCCCATACAGCAAGTGTTTTCTACAGGGTTAAATCCCATTCCACTTGTCGATAGCTTCCCAGTTCCATGTCAAAAGGGCCTCAGGAAATTCTGATGCAGAGAACAATAGACTAGAGATTGTCAACAAGGGGCAAGTTTGCCCTAGGGATACATGTGTCAAGGTCTGGAGAGTTTGGATAGCCCCAGTGTAGTGGGAGGATACAACTGGTACCCACTGGGTGGAGGCCAGGGAAGCTGCCCTTTCCCTGTGATACACAGAGGCCTCCACAACAATTATCCAGTCCCAAATGTCAACTGGGCAGCTGTGGAGGAATGTTTCTCTATGCTTGGAAGCATGTATCGCCCTCAAACTATAATCCTTTCTTAACTATATTCTTTTATCTTCATATAGACAAGTCATTTTAAAACAGATGTCGTCCATATTCAAGGCCTGATACATCACTGCCACTGAAGGTAGACAAATCCAACGAAGCACACTAACAACAGATCACGTACACAGCTTTAGAGTTTTTGTTTGTTTGTTGTTTTTTTTTTCAGACAGGGTCTCCCTGTAGTCCCAGCTGGCCTAGAACTTGCCATGTAGACTAAGCTGGCCCCCACCTCACAGAGATCTGCCTGCCTCTGCCTCCCAAGTGCTGGGAATAAAGATGTGTGTTATCACACCCAGCTACTTAATAGTTTTAAAAAATGTCACCTGAAATTCTCATCTGCTTCTCTCAAGAACCTGAGTAGTAACTGGGAAAGGTACTGTTATACCTATTTTATAGAAAATGGAGACTGGGTTATGCTAGCCACTGAAGGTCAGTTTTAAGCATCTGTGAATCTAGGAAGAGAAAAATCAGGCTTTTTGATATCCTGGCCCCTCTTAGCAACAGAGGGCTTCTCATGAAAAACAGATGCACCGACTGAAGAGCTGGCCTCCAATCACCATGAACAGGCTTCACATGAAACACCAGGGCAACATCCATTCCCACCAGGCTGGATGCCTACAGAGGTCAAAGGACAGAGGGGCAGGAAGAGGCCACCAGACTAGTCAGCTCATGAGTTGAACAATCTGGCAGTCAGTGAAGGACAAGATGTCAGATCCTCATTTCCTGCCCTATAACCATGAAACTTCTGCCTACTTATGCCATCACCTTAGGCTGATCAAGCTAAAGGCAACAGAGGAGAAACATTTGGGGCAGCGTTCTCTGACACCATGCTTCCTAAAGAGAATAGTGTTTTCCTTTATTTTCTTTCAAATGAGGTATAGTATTTCAGACTAATAAGATGACAATGAGGATAGGGGTCTATGTAGAATACATGTGGATTCAAACTCCTGGGAACTTTGAGTCAGGAGCTTTCAAAGACTCCACAGATAAGACATTTTACATGTAACAGTGTCCTTAGTCCTAATCTTAACATTTGGCTGATCCTTTATTCACACGATGAGGCCCTCTGCTCTTTGGCTATGAGCCAGACCAACTGGCTTTGGGTCTAGGCTCTGTCACTTACCAGCTGGGTCACCTGGTAGGTTCCTTTTGTGTGTGTGTGGGGGGGTGTATGTGAAGGTCAGAAGTTGTCACTGAGTGTCTTCCATGTTTTCCTTAATCACTCTCCATCTTTTTTTTTTTTTTTTTTTTTTTTTTTTTGAGACAGGGCATCCCTGTAGATCCAGCTGGCCTGAAACTCACTATGTAGACCAGGCTGGTCTTGAACTCACAGAGATCTGCCTGCCTCTGCCTCCCGAGTGCTGGGACTAAAGGCATGTGCCACCACGCCCAGCTCCATCTTATTTTTAAAGACAAGGTCTCTTAGTGAGCCTTGAGTTCACCAATTTGGCTAGACTGGTTAGCCAGCAAGCTCCAAAGACCCTTCTGTCTCTGTATCTCCAGCATTGGGTATAGGTACATGCTTCCCTGACTGGCTTTTTACCTGGGTGCTGGGATTGAACTCAGGTGCTTATGCTTGTGAGGCAAGCACTCTACCAACTGAGTCCCAGCCCCTAGTTCTTTAAACTCTGCATGTTTCCTATGAAAAACAGGCCTAGAGTAAACAGCGCTGCTTCACAGGGTTGGCAAGGAATAAGCAAGCTACTCTGAAGCGAAGTACTCCCCAAAGGGCCTGGCATACCACCAACTCGCCGTGGTGATTGTAATTCAGATCAGCTCAGGATATCTAGTTGGAACTTGTACAAAAAGTAATGGAATGTCAGCTGCCTGCCTTTCCCCCTCCTTTATCAAAGTCAAGGAAGAGCGGTGACGGCCTGTTTTACAATTAACCTTAAACTGTGGGGGTCTTTTTCAGGTTATTTTTAGGGACCTTAGAATTCACTTGGGACAAACTGGCAGCCTGGGTTAAAAGGAAGACATCCGTAATCCTCTAACCGGTGGGAACTGGGATTCAAACCCGGTCCTACCACTTCCTTGCATCACGATGCAGTCACCTCACCCATCTCTTCAAGTCTCTATTTCCCAATCTGCACAAAGAGGAAAACAGCCTGACAACTGACAACATAGCTCTATGGAGAAACTTAGAGAACAATAGCTCAGGTCAACTAGGAGCTTTCAAAGACTCTACAGAAAAAAGACATTTACATGTAACAATGTCCTCAGTCCTAATCTTACCAGAAACATTTGCTAGACTGATCCCTTACTCATACAATGACCAACCCTCTGCTCCGCGGTTATGAGCCAGACTAATTGGCTTTGAGTCTAGACTCTGCCACTGGGTCACCTGGCAGGTTCCACGTGTGTGTGTGTGTGTGTGTGTGTGTGTGTGTGTGTGTGTGTGGAGGGTAGGTAATATGCATGCCCATGTACGCACATGAAGGCCAGAGGTTGAGATGAGGCTGGAAACAGAACAGCCCAAATTCCTTGCTGCCTGCTGCTCTTTTCTCTCACATCTCATTCTTTCCCTCTCATCCTCTACCTAACACACAGGAGACCTGGATGAGGTCTCCTGCCATGAGGATACGAAATAAGAGTGAAAACTAAACCACTATTTCCTAAATGGAGCGGAATCTGTATTGTTCCATATGTCTTTTGTAAAAGGTGACTAATTTGTATGTGATGAGAAGTTTTGTCCCAGGGACTTCAAGTAAACACCCTCTAAGCTATGTTCTTAATTCTATGGGCATTGCACATTTTACTTATATTCTTAGAAACATGCTTTTATGGTTAGCACCCTCCACTGCTTCTGCGAATACATTGTTCATTTTCCTATTTAAAGCTGGGGAAAAAGGAAAGCCCTGCCCTGTTCCAAGCTAGACAGCAAGAGATTGGGACGCTCCAGTCAAAGCTGGATGCTGGCATCCAACACTTCACTTTGCCACTGTACTTGTAACCTTGTACTCTGGGTAATTCCCTTTGATCTTAGACCAAACACGTTTACATTAGTGGGGATCTCTCATCTGGACTGAAGTTCCCCACCCCTACTCCTTTAGATTGGGTTTCATCAACTTTCCCCATTCTCTGGGAATTAGCTTCAGAGCCACTAGTCTTCTATCTTAAATTTGTTCTCTCTCTGTCTCTGTCTCTGTCTCTCTCTCTCTGACATACAAGCATGCACAAAGAGAGACACACAACTTGTGTTATGCAGCACACTAGCCATTAGCTAGTGGTTAATGAGCACTTAACATATAGCTGGTATTTACCGAGATGTCATTTTAATATAAACACCAGAATTTAAGACTCAGTAGAACAAAATAGTCTATATTGGTTGCATGCTGAAATATTTTAAATATATTCAGTTTAACAAAATCCAGTCTTAAAATGAGCATCACCGGTTTCGTATTACTTAAAAAATAAACTTCACTAGAAAAACTCCAATGATTTAACTATTGGACAAGCACTGGCCTCTACTGAAGGGCCTATGAGGAACCTTTGTATGTGTCATTCACAGTGGCTTCCCCTCTGTGTCCCCAAACCACTACCCCTGACAGAGTAAACACACAATCAGTCTATGTTGAGTACGTACTGAAGCACGCAAATCTCTCTGTGCACATGGTTTTCCATTTCGCCTCTGGACATTGTGTCTCTACTTGCAAGAAATTATAGTAATAAAATAACCAAGAACTGTATTACTTTGAAAGGTGAAAAGCACAACGTGGATAAGAATATTACTGCTCGTGCTAAAAGTGAAATATTTCTCTCTCAGGTAATCATTTGTATACCCGTCTTTTATACTACAATATAAAAAACTACAAAACAAAAGCAGAAAGAGGGAGCCCCGTAAACAACTCAAGTGGGGAAAACTGTAGAAACATCAGAGGAGCCAAGGCGTGCACACAGTCAGTGGGAAGAGAAACAGAGCTCCGATCCCGGTATGAACATCTTCACTGTCCCAATTTTAAAAGCAAAAGGCTCAAAATGCTACTGGATCCCTCCCTGTGCCAACACAGGAAGGCCGGAAATCGGCCGGATCCAGACCCACTTCAAACACTTGTAGAGAAGTATTGTCTTTGTTGAGGGCTTTTAAAACTACTGTAAGATCTCCCTTTAAATCAGCAAGCTCCTTAACCTTTAGGTTGACACACAGAGACCGGGCTTCTCTGTCCACCAGACCACCCTCAGCTTAGTGAGAAAACTGGCCACAGCAGAGGCCAGGCAAGCAGCACAGATTTCCTAGGAGGCCCGGTGAACACAACCTGCCAACAGGTTGCCCTGCGGAAGCCGCAAGACCTAGGGTCAAGGCGCTCCCGATGCTGAAAGCCAGGTCGGTTCTCGGGTTTCCGCCAAGTTCCCCAGCAGAACAGCTTATCTGTGCACGCGCGCACAAATCTGGGGGAGAAAAGAGGAAATTACAGAAGCCGCCCATCTAGGCCAGTTCACCAATGCTGTGGGTGGCAGGCGTCAGGAGGCTGGGCCCGGGGGAGGGGAGACAGACCGCATCCAGCGAGGGTCACGGCTCGCCGAGGGCAGGCGCTGTCCGGCAGGGCGGCGGGGAGGCGGCGGGCTGGGCCCGGGGCTCGGACGTTACCTGGCTCATCCCACTCCCCATGGTCGCGCCGCGATCGCCACTGCCGCGCTCGCGGGTGGAGACGGCTTGCGGGCGGGGCGGCAGGAGGCGGCGCCAGGGTCGCGCTGGCAGTGTGCGCCGCGGCGGGCTGGGTGCCCCGGGGGCCGGTCATGACGGCAGAGCTCCGCGTCCGGGCCGAGAGCCGGGCGGGCGCCTTGCCGGGAAATCGGCCCCGGCCTCCGCGGCCCACGCGCACGCGCACCGGAGGTGGGGCGGGGGACTGTAGGTGGAGGATGGGGGGTCCGCGCACGCGCACCGGCGGCTGGGAGCGGCAAGGTGGGGGGCGGGCGCTGCGGTCGGGGGTCCCCAAGTCCCCGCTGGCCTTTTCCCCTGGGGCGCCCTGGGGCTTGTTACCAGCAGTCTCACTGACCCAAGTCCCTGGGTGAATCAGGTGCTAATCAAAGCCTGGGCCCTGGGGCTCCCCAATCTGGGTTTTCTGAGCTGACAGATTTAGGCCGGGGATTCCTGTGGCCCTGCCTCACCCACCCAGATGGAGAAGGAGCGCGCTCTGGGCAAGGTGGGCTAGGTGATTCACCTTTACAGAGATCTGACCCCTGCAAGTCGGGGAGGGGGCAGCTGGTGGCTCCAAATGGTTGTGGGTTCCCATCAGAGGAGCTTGAACTGACTCTAGTAGGCACTCAGGTGTGCTGAGAGGATTGTTGCCAGAAAGTTGCCCCCTCGCAAGCCCGGGAACACGTCTGCATTGTGGTTTGTCTGGAGTAAACAGTAGTAAATTATTTGGGGATGTTCTATTATCCTTACTAAAGTTTTAAATTCCTTTCTGGGCACAGAATCCTTCAGCTACAGTTTTGTGACTTCATTTTGTATACTTGACAATGCTCTGCACACAGTAGGTGCTTAGAAAGTACTTGCTGAATGAAGACATGCCATGTGTCAGGCTGATGTGACAGGCTCCATTCCATCTGTCCCTCTTTGCCCTTGGAATCACAGCTGCTTGGTTATTAGATGTCATGTTGCCCAGGGGCCTGTGTTACCCATCTCAATCCCCAGCTTTTTTGCACAGCTGCCTCTTGTCCTTGAAGTCTTAGAACAAATGCCATAACCTCAAAGGGCCTTTTCTCAATGAGACCAGGGGATTTAGAGGGAACACTGCAGTAGCTACAGTACTGCCTTTTTTTTTTGTCTTTTTGAGACAGGGTCTCCCTGTAGCCCCAGCTGTCCTGGAACTCACTGTGTAGGCCAGGCTGGCCTGAAACTCACAAAGATCCACCTGCCTCTGCCTCCCAATTGCTGTCTGTTATTTTTACATAGTACTTAGGATCAGAAATTATACTTTGTTGCTTACTGTTGATCTGTTTCATAAGACAGCAAGTGCTTGAAAAAGATCTTGTCTAATTCACTTAGCCATATGACCTGGGACAGCAACTAGCTGTAAACTTTAGATTTAGATCTTACATTTAAAGTAGAACCTGTTTGTTCATTTGTGTTTTCACTCATTCACAAAAATTGTAAAGGCTAGAAGCCTAGTGGATTTCCATTCCAGGTAAGGATTCCATTCACATCATTTTCTCCTTGACACTGCCAACATCACAGATGAGCATTCGTGGACATAACCATCGTGTGGCCAGCCCATACTACCATGTGGATAAGGATAATGATTAGTTCTATATTTAATGAGCAGTCATTTCAATGCTATTTTTTATTTATTTTTAATATTCTATTATTTTTATTTTATGTGTATGTGTGTATTGCTTGCATGTAGGTAAGTGCACCTGTGTCATGCCATGCCTGCGGAGGACAGAAGAGGTTGTCGGATCCCCTGGAACTGGAGTTATGGACAGTTGTTAGATGCCATGTGGGTGCTGGGAAACAAACCTGGGTCTTCTGCAAGAACAGTCAGTGTTCTTAACCGCTGAGCCACCTCTCCAGCCCCGTAGCAGTCATTTCAAATTTAAGGTTAGAATATGTAAAAGTCTACAGGTTCAGGAGAGTCGGTCAGATCATTGGATAAGTTGATAATTTCAGAGAATTCACATAAACCTCTGCCCAAGTGAGTAGTTGTGCAATCTGCCTTGACCAAAGCATGACTGAACATAAATATGAGCCAGCTCGTAGTGAACTGTGGGGGAAGAAACAAGGTAGAATCTAGAACTACAGAGGCAAAAGCACAAATTGTTTTCTTTTTCTTCAGCTCTGTCTAGAGAATAGACGCTTAGCTGACCATTAGAGACTTTTGAGCTAGAGAATAGCCCAGCCATGAGACTGGCCCCTGCGGTGGATGACCTCAACTTTCAGAATGTAGTCCCAGCCCTCAGCCAGCCTTCTGAATGTAGTTTCCTTCTTTCTCCCCAGAGGCTTAGGGAGCTCAAGGCTCAGGGCTCAGGTATATGTAGTATGGGCCAAGGAAACCGAGCAAGAGGCCTGTGTCACCGGTGCATGGCAATCTAGGAAGGTGATGTCAGGCCTTTATTTGAGAGTCAGTGAAGTCAGTCAACCTGTAAAGTCCAGGAAAGCTGGCAGCACCTTGCAGGAATGAAATTGTGAGATCATGAATCAGTGTCATGCAAAGACAGAAGACTAGTTCCCAACCCTGCATGGAAAATGAAGCTCTTGTCAGCAGACAAGTCATAGTGTATATGTCTTTGTCTTGTCAGCACATGGAGGCCAGTTGGTTCTTTGCTTGTTTATTTGTTTTGGTGCTGTTGATTAAAGTAAGGAGCTCACACATGCTCTATCACTGAGTTGTATTGCCAACCCAGGGAAGACTTGTTATCAAACTTAGTGTCCAGCATACAAAATAGTTGCTAATCTGGGGAAACTTAAATATTTGATAAGGAAAGAAACACAGCTGGGGTGTTGTTAAATTTGCCGGGGTATGAAGTTCACACATCATAGTTCTATATGCCAGATGCATTGTCAACTCCAAAGCTGCCTCTGTTCCCCTTCTTCCCCTCCCCTTCCTTTCCTTTTATTTGAAGCATGGTCTTACTATGTAACCCAAGCTAACTTGGAACTTGTTCTACATCCAAGGAAGTCCTCAAACTCACTATTTTTCTTGCCTCTGCTGGGAGGACATGCAGGCATCACCACACCCAGCTCTGTCTTTTCTTTCCTAGAGCAGTATCATTTCTATGTAAGATGATCCTATGAGCTAGGGGTGACTGAATTCCTATTGTCTTCCAGTTTTGAAACGTACAGCACATACCCAATAGACAAAAGGGAAGGGGTTTATTGAGAGAGGGAGGGTGGGGAGAGGAGGTAGAAAGGTAGGGAGGAAAGAGAGGAGATGAGGGAGGGGTGGGAGAAGGAAGGCGCTGTTCTTGCACACAGTGCTCTCCTGGATTGCTTTGCTGTACCCCTTGGCCTGCTGAGGTAGACGGCAGATGCCAGGACTTTCTCTGGCTCTGTTCTTTGCCATCACGTTGTTCTCTGAGCTTTGTTAAGAAATCTTGCCTGGCATATGCACTTCCATCTTGGGTATTGATGTGGTTGTTTTCCCTCGCAAGGTATGATTTAACCCAAATGCTGCTCTGTCCCTGCCAAGAAAGGTCCTATGGCAGTAAACTTGTTCCTTTAAAACTTCATCCTTAAAAAAAAATAAAACTTTCCATGATTGCTGACTGTGTCCCAGAACATTAGCAAAATCTGGACCACTACTGTCTTCTTAGCCTCTGTAGAATATTTGTCTTCGTCTTGATGGGTAAGAACTAACTTGAACCTTACTTCCCTCCCTCCACTCATAAAGAGATGCCCAAGGGTCTTACCAGCTCTGCCTCTCTTCAGTACTGTAGCCACAGTCTCCTTCATTAAACCCTAGTCAGAATGGCCATAGGGGCTGCAATCTGGGGCAGAGGAAGATAGCCCCTATGTGTTTCTGCTCAGAGAACCCGTCTGTTGGCACTTCCTGCGTCTGTACAGACAACCACCTTTCTGAGACTCACTTCTGCTTCTCCAAATGCCCAAGGGGCCAGGGCCTGGCCTAGAAGTACAGACAGCAAGGGAAGCCCCAGCTCAGAGTGTAGGGCCAGGCCAACCACCTTAACCATCTTGCATTTGTCTGCTGGCCTTAATTTTGAGCTCCTCCTTAGAGAAGTCTTGGGGTTTGTTTTGCTTGTTTTTGTTATTTATGTAAAACTAAAATTGAACTGGAACTGAAGGCACTAAAAAACTGTCTAGATGGGGGGCTAGAGGAACAGGGGGTTTCCTGAGAGAATGGAATGTCCCAAGAGAAATTTCACTCACTGTGACAGGGGAAGTCCATTTGGCATGAGATAGCACTGTCATTATTGCACATTCTATGTTGGGTTTTACATTTTTGTTAACAGTAGTTGCTGCTGTTTTTTTTATTAGTCAGTCGTCATTAAAGCCCTTAAATTATAAGAAACTCATCACATTGAGTGTTCCTCAGGTTGACCATGGACTGAGGATCCACTGCCCACAAAGCAGCAGTACTTGCATCCCCCCGCTCCCACCCCCATGGAGCATCACCTACCTATGAGGTCAAGGCCTAAAAGGCACAGTCTCATTCAGAGCTAGCAACCAACACCAGCACCTCAAGCGTCCATGAAAGGACCCCCCACCGCTAAGTATTGATTGCCCTGTCATGGAGCATCACCTACCTATGAGGTCAAGGCATAAAAGGCACAGTCTCATTCAGAGCTAGCAACCAACACCAGTACCTCAAGCGTCCATGAAAGGACCCCCCACCGCTAAGTATTGATTGCCCTGAATTTTTCACCATCTCTGTCGTACCTGTATGACAACAGCCAGGACAAGAACAATTGTTGCACAGAGAATTAAGCAAGTGGCGCCTGAGGTACATCTCAGGCACTCAGGTTAGCATGAATTTCTCCTGCCCCTTTCATAGGCTTACATACATTGGAAACATACTGGAACATTGGTTCAGACTAACACATTTGTATTTGGTTTACTAATACCCTCAAGGCTGGGTATGGTGGCCTTTAATCCCAGCATTCAAGAGGCAGAGGCAGGGAGAGCTCTGTGAGGCCAGCCTGGTCTACATAGCAAGTTCCAGGCCAGCTAGGGCTACAGGGAGACCCTGTCTCAAAAACTAACTAACTAACTAACTAACTAACTAACTAACTAACTAATAAGTAAGTAAATAAATATATAAATGCCTCAACTCCTCTA